CCTCCTCGGTCCTGAGAGTGGTGAGGCCTCACTGAGGAGGTGATGTCTGAGCTGACACCTGTGCCCCCTGTATGTAGGGCCCTGAGCCCGGCCGTGCTGCAGAGTGGACAGGCCCGGGCTGGAGCCGAGGTGCTCATGGTGGCACTGTCAGCCTCTGGGTGGGGCTCCTGGGTTTCATCCAGGAGGCAGGAACCAGAGAGGTGCTGGCCCGCCAGATGGGGTGTGAGGGTGCCCCTAGGTCGCAGCCCTCTCAGCAGTGCGGTTGCGTTTTGTATCCCCATCCAGCTGGTGCCCGGCCGACTGTGAGCCACATTGGGGCAAGGGTGTGGGATGGGCACCCAGGTCGGACCCAGGGGCTCCAAGATCTCTGTGAGTGAGAGGACGGACTCCTGTGACTAGAAGGCCAGGGCCTGCATGGATTTCACCTCCATTTATTTCCCTGGTGAAAGGGAGCGAGTTTATCTTGGGGGTGTGCCTGCGTCTGTCTTTGCCACAGTGTGCAAGCTCGTTCTCTTGGCCCACGTGGCAGCGGCAGTCCTCCTGACAGCCCTTCCTACGAGCTGGGCCGGGGCCTCCCAGGCAGCCCACAAGGAGCCAGCAGTGCTGGGCATCCCTTCGGGACAGGAGTGGCTGAGCCCAGCAGGGCCCCAAGACCACTACGTCCTGCCTCCCCTGGGCCTTCTGGGGCCTCCGTCCCCAGGCTGCCTCTGCAGACACCTCTTCCCCATCTGGGTGGGCCCTGCTCTCAGGATCTCTTTTGGAGAAGAGGAAGTGGGCTGGGGAGCGTCACCCCAGATCAGGGGGCTCTGGCCTTGCTCTGCCAAACACACATGCCAGCCACACTGTTAAGCTAGCAGAGGGCCGGAAGGCCCTAGACTTTCTGTCTCTAAGTCCATAAGCAGCCCCAGAGCACTTTAGGGACACCACACGTAAATACTAGGTAACAGGCTTGCCATGTGCCATGCCCTAACCTACAGGCAGCTGGTGAGGGGTGTGTTGTGATTGTCCACCTTCCCCAGAGGGAGAAACTGAGGCATGGGACAGGCTGGGGCTTGGCCTGAGGCCACACAGCCAGATGGACAGGGTGAGAACTCCACCCCAGGCTCAGAACCTCAAAGCCAGGCTGGCCTTGCCAGGGGGGCAGCCGGCAGGAGTGCCTGGCATGGTGAGGATGCTGGGCAGGGTGCTGGACCCACTCAGTAGCAGGTCATTGTCCCCCAGTCCACTGGAAACAATGAGATGGCCGTTGTGCCACAGGAAGGGATGACCCCTCTCGAGCCTGCGGTTGTTCAGCCTGCTGAGGGTGCCGAGGCTGAGGAGGGGGCTCTCGGAGACCCTGGGTGGGCTTCCTGCTTGGCCAGGGATGGGGAACTGGTGGGGGGAGGCTCTCTTGGCTAATGGCTTCCCTGAGGAAGCAGGGACCCCACCTCGGCTGGGTCCTCAGTTGTGCTGTGACTGCAGTGGGTGCTCTGGGGGTCCCCTTGCCACCTGCCTCGAGTCATGTGGCTGATCCTGGTTGCTGCCCCTTCCTGGCTTCATTCTATGGGAGTCTCCTCCCGGGCAGGCTGGTCCCTTGAGGCTGGGCAAGGCCTGGGCCTGCAGTGGCCACAGCGACCTCTTAGCTGGTCTTGCGTTTGCTCACCAGCCTTTCTGGTGGCCACGGTGTGGAGCATGGGGTCGTGCCAGCCACGCACTAGCAGCGAGACCACAGGCACAGTGAGTGCCGCCAGCCTCAGTTTCCTCCTGTGTGGATGACTCGTAACTCACAGCATCATGAGGTTGTGGAATGAAGTGCCACCCAGGCATAGTGCTGTTGGGGCTGTCTCGGGGGCTGCTCTCAGCAAGCCCTTCCCTCTGGGCAGGTGACCGCCACACCTCCAATGGGCCTGCTAGGTCAGGGCCGGGCACTGCAGGCACAGCTGGGGTTGGGCTTCGGGGCTGGCCCTCTGTCCTGCCTTGGAGGCCAGCCTCATGAGCCTGCATGGCAAAGGAGGGAACGAGATGACACCGGCACTGGCTTCTTGCGACAGGACGTGGGGCACTGGAAGGCTCTCCCATGCCTCCTGTCCTGCGGCGCAGGAGTGAATGCGGCACAGGGGCTGCACACGAGCAAGGGGGTGGCGGAGACGTTCTGTCAGCTCCGGGGAGGATGAGAAGGGCTTGGTCCCTCCGCCCAGCCGCCCACCCCCACAGTTCCTGCCACTGGCATGACACGTTCCTGCACCCGCGTGGGAGCAGCCCATGCGCGCAGCCGCCTGGTGGCCGGCGCCTGGCGAGGAGCTTCAGCGGCCGCGTCCCATCTCCCTGTGTTTGTTGGCTCAGGAGACGTGCAGGTCTGCATTCTAGAAGGCCCGCCGCTGGGGACAAGTTCCGAGCATGAGCATGACTATAAAACGGCCCATTCCTGAGCTGCCTGTGTCTGTGGATTCAGGAAAAACAAACAGCTCTGCGGGGTGGGCCACTTCCTCGGAGGAGCCGAAAGGACCGTCGTTAACTTGACGAGGAGGGTCTGGGACGGGTCTGAGCAGAGGACGTGGGGTCCTGGGGCTTCGGGCATGTGGCCTCCTCGGCAGGCGGACACACCAGGCCGCGGCTCGAGGCCACCACCCTGCCAGGCAGCAGGACCAGGTGTGGGGGCCCCAGGAGATGGCATCCTGGCCTCTGCCTGTCGCTCCCTGGACGGCAGCCGCACTCAGACCTTTTGGTCTTAGGACCCCCTTATGCTCTTGAAAGAGAACTTTTGTTTTGGAGGGTTATACCTATCAATATTTTATAAAACTGAGAAATTTTTAAAATGCTTTCATATGTATTAAAATAATAACAGACCCATTATATGTTTGCATAAATAAAATAATTTTATGAAAAGTTACTAAATTTTCCAAAACAAAAGATATCATTGAAAGAAAAATGAACATTTCTGCAAATCTCCGTGAGGTCTGGCTCCTGGGAGGAGCCGTGATGGCCCATCTGAGAGTAGAGGGGCGAGTGCAGCCTCGGGGGGTCAGCGGAGGCCACCCAGGTCCCCTGCAGGGTTTTGAGGGGTGACTAGGAGTAGCTGGGTGAGTGCGTGGGACCAGCACGTTCGCACTGAGGGGATGATCGATTACCTGTGCTCCCGCGGTGTTTGAAGCAGACGGAGGTCCTGACTTTCCTCTCCCGCAGTTGTCCGGCCTGGCAGGGCCGTCTGAGCTCGAGGCCGAGGTAGGCCAGTTTGTGGGTCACCTTTTGTGTGCTCTCTCTGACTTGCTGTAGGCTCAGGAAATATCTGTGGGAGGGACAGATGAACAGTGAGTACGCTGGGCCCCCACGCCACCGAGCCCCTCTGGGCTGTGATGTCACTAGTGGGAGTTGCTCCCAGGGGTGGGGCTGGGCACAGTCTCAGATGCCCCACCTGGTTGGCAGCCCCAGATCTATCTTTGCTGTCGCCCTGCTCCCAGGGTACCTGGGCCCTCTGGAGGAGGCAGCTGTGGCCCGCCCCTCACACAGGGGTGCAGGCCCTCTGGGGAGGACGCCTGCAGATGAGGGGGCTCCAGGATCCATGAGAGTCCCCTTATCCACCAGCCTGCCATCTCCTTGCCTATGGTCTCTGGGATGGCCTGGTTTCACCTGCAGGTACCTGGGCTATGTTCCAGGTGTGTGTGTGGGTGTGGGTGTACATGAGATGTCTGAGCCCAAGTGTGCCCTGAGATTGTCAGTCTGAGATGTGGGCACCAGCCACCTTTCCACATGACATTGTGCCATGTGTGTGCACGATGCATACGTGTGTGTGATGCACAGATCGTGATGCATATGTGTGGTGCACCTTCAGTTGGAGTCTGTTAAATGGGCCTCCCCAGGACCCCTGCCACCACACTGGCTTTTTCCACATGACATTGTGCCATGTGTGTGCACGATGCATACGTGTGTGTGATGCACAGATCGTGATGCATATGTGTAGTGCACCTTCAGTTGGAGTCTGTTAAATGGGCCTCCCCAGGACCCCTGCCACCACACTGGCTCTGTGGGGCAGGGGATCAACTGGGGGCTCTGTGTGGTTCTCGGCGGGGAAGGCCACCTGCGCCTGCCAGAGACGAGTGTCACTCGCCTCAACTGGAGATTCCAGAGGGGTAGAAGCTGGGTTTTCCAAAGCAGGGAACCCAGAGCAGGACTACAGAGACCCCCACAGCCACAGGGACACTCTGGGCCACCACGCCTGTTGTCCCATTGTGCCTAGGCAGGAACGTGTGTGACCATGGGGTATGCTGGGCCTCCTCTCCTGGCTCACAGCTGGCTCCTTGAAGGCCCAGACTCCAGGGGCAACATGGCAGGCTTGGACACAGCCAGGGTGGGCTCTCAGATCCCCACACAGATGTCACGTTCAGTCTCACACTGCAGACCCCAGGGAGCACATCTCAGATGCCAGCCAGAGGTGAGCCGGGGGGGGGGGCAGCCCCTCTTTCCTATCGTCCCAGCACATGCCTGGGACAGGTGGCTCTCCCGTCGAGAAGTCGGCTCGAGCTGCATCGTCTCTCAGAAGAGAAAAAATGAAGCATCTGGTGCCCTGGGGTGATGTCGGGCCCATCCCAGCCTTCTGTCTGCAACTGGCCTCGACAGGAGCTTCTGGCATAGCAGTGGTCCAGGGGTGGTGGCCTCGGAGATGTGGCAGGAGGGTGGGGCAGGGAGGCCTGTTGGGCTGCTGTGCCTGGCCATCTGTTGGGTGGGCTCCTGGCCTGCGTGTCCCACTGGCACCCTGGCCCTCCATGGCTGGTCCTTTCTTGGTGCATCCCTGGTGGGCTGTGTGCCGTGTGCAGCCCTCAGGGTGTGGGAGACCTGAGCTTCCTGCTACTCTCTTCCTGGTGCCTTCACTGAGTCACGTGGAGGCAAAAGAGGACAGTGACCATTGGGCGGTCGGGGCCTCTCACTGGCCTCTCGGCCCATCAGGGTGGTGGTGTGGGCTGGGTAGGTGCCCTCCTGAGGCTCTGGGCCTATCAGCTGTTGACTGCTGACCCTCCTGCTGACAGGTCACGGTCACCACCATTGGCTACGGAGATAAGGTGCCTCAGACGTGGGTCGGGAAGACTATCGCTTCCTGCTTCTCCGTCTTCGCCATCTCGTTCTTTGCGCTCCCAGCGGTAGGTGCCCACAGGGGTCTGTCTGCCACTCCTTGGCCAGCTGGGGCCCTGGGGACACCAGCAGGTCCCTCTCTGTGAGCAGGCCCACTTTTGGAGGTGACTCATTCAGAGCCAGGATGGTACTTGCCTTCCAGAAGGTGCCCCACCCAGAGCCTGCTAACCTGCCATGAGCCCTCCTGTTCCCCACCCGCCACTGGGGTAGCCAGTGTAGAAGGCGGCCTGGTGTGGCTTTACATAGAAGCAGTGGGGTGCAGGCCTGCTCATTTAGCCCTGCGGGGAAGGAGGCCCCAGTACAGCTGGCACATCACTGTACAGGCGGAACCCGTGTGCCTGAGGAGGGAGGGAGTGGCCTTGCATGGTGGCCTGGGAGGGGCTTTATTCTGGGTCCTTTCCAGAGATCATAGAATAGGGGTGAAGTTTTTCTAGTTTCCTGTATGTGCATGTCGGTGTATTTATATGTGAGTTACATGTGTGTATGTATGACGTGTGTGTATGTGTGTGTGTGTGCGTGTTACATATTATGTGTGTGACGTGTGCATGTATATGCATGGCGTGTGTTTGTGCACTGTGCTGTACACATGTTAGATGTATGTGCACACTGCGTACACGCACTGTCACATCTCATCCGTGCAGTACGTGTGGGTATGTGTTGTGTGCATGCATGCGTCTGTGTTAGGCATGCATACAGTATACACACGCACATGTGCGCGTGTGTGCACGTGTGCGTGTGCATCCCATGTATAAGTACATCTGCGTATTTCATGTGTGCTGTGCATGTATGTGTGTGTTCCGTGTCAGTGTGTATCTGTTGTGTGTATGTGTGTGACGTATGTGCATGCAGCTTGCCCACCTCTGGGCAAGGGTTCTGGCATGGTGGTGGCAGCAGCACTCCTCCTCGGCCATGGGCCATCTTCTCACTCCTGGCACCCAGTGCAGTGCCATGGGCCCCACCTGGGCATATGCAGACAGGTGACCCCCAGCCGCCACGATGGCCCCTGGGAGTGGGTCAGGTGGGCTGTGCCACGTGGTCGTGAGCCTGGTTCCCTTCCCAGGGCATCCTCGGCTCTGGGTTCGCCTTGAAGGTGCAGCAGAAACAGCGGCAGAAGCACTTCAACCGGCAGATCCCAGCCGCGGCCTCGCTCATCCAGGTGCGCATGTCGCCATCAGCCGCCCTCCACCCAGCGCCCGTCTCCGTGGCAGTCGGGTTGGATGGGGTTGGCTGTGGGCCCCTTGCCTCCCTGCCAGCTGCAGGGTTTCCCTCCCTCCCTCAAGTCTCCCTCCTCCTGCACCACCACCTTGCTCACCCCAGGGCTGGAGCTGGGAGGAAATAGGTGAGGGGCTCCCAGATGACCGTCTCCAAGGGGACAGGGCCCAGAGTGTGCAGCACCCTGCCTCTGAGGGGCTCAGCCTCCGTCTGGGTGAGGACCCGTGATCTGACAGGACGGCGCGGGCCACCCTCTGGATTCGCAGGGCCGGGAGGCTGGGGAAGGCAGAGCCTGGGAGTAACAGGGAAAGGAAGGTTCTAGAGGGGATGGGGAGGCAAGTGGCACCCAGCCCGGAGACGAGCAGTTCTGATTCTGTGATGCCAGCCCTGGGGAAAAAGTTTGCTCTTTTAATGCAAAGACTTAGGCACAGGAGCCCTCGGGAAACCATGCCCCTGAGGGTCCTTGTGGCTGGCCCCTGTGGGGACTGAGGACCAGGGCTGCCCCGAGGAGTGGCTGGGGAGGGGCCAAGAGTGTGAGCCTTGGCAGTGGGGCAGCCCAATGGACAGGACCCTCTGCCAGGTGAGGTGGCTGCAGGGTGGACCGCTCTGGGCACCCTGGGCTGAATGTCCCCCAGGGAAGATCTGGGGACCTGGACAGGCCTAGGCTGACTGGGGTCACCCCTCCAGCCTCAGTCTCCTGAGCTTTCTACCCCAGGCAGGGCCCCGGGTGAGGAGCGGGTGGCTGTCAGGGCCTGGGGCTCAGCCAGGGTCTCCACCGCATTCCTCTGAAGCCCTTCTGTCTGGGGCCTGGACGTTGCGCCCGCATGAAAAGGAAACAGCAGCAGGAGCCGTAGAACCGAGGGGCTGGCGCTCAGGCCTGGTTTTATGGCCCCACAGTTTCTCCTTTTGGGGAGACCATAAATCAGGCCCATAACACCAGCCTTGGCCCTGCATGGGCAGACTGCCCGCAGCAGGGGACCACATTTGATTTCCCTGCGGAGCACTGATGTCACATCCTGCAAACACGGACTTGCTCAGAGGTCACACTCACCATGGGGGGACGAGAACTAGGGCTGGAGATGACAGGAACGTGTGGAGCAGGCAGCACAGGCTTTGTGGGGAGGGGACATCCAGACTGCTTTGGGTGGTGGAATGTGGAGGCGGCTCTGTATGTGTGTGGGACTGTGGGCCTCGGGAGGGCCTCCCCTGGCTGTCCCAGCCACCAGGTGGGCGTGAGGGCTGCAAGTGCCCCTCACTGGCTGCCATGTCACTGTCCCCAGGAACCCCACCAGGTGTGGCACCTTCCTGAGTGCTTCCTCTCTCTTGGGCTCACATGGCCAGCAGTGACAGGTCCTCATCGAGGCAACCCCTCCTGTCCCATGCCTGCCCCCCTGGACACTGCACGGCCTCCCCTGGGGTCCCCTGCCTGTGGTGTCTCCTCCATGGTGGCTGCCATGGGGTCTCTCTAGCATGCAGGCTTAAGACCTCCACCTGTGTGCCATCAGAGGCTCCCACAACTGCAGGATGTCACTCGGGAGCTTCTGAGAGGGACTCCTGCTTCCTGGCCACTCGGTCTTACCTCCTGCTGGCCCCAGGGGCCCTGTTCCCCCTGGTGACCCCTCTCCCACAGCCCTTCCTCAGTGGGTGAAATCCAGTCCCCTGCGTGTCCTGTGCGTGCTCTAGGCCTGGCTTGGGGCTGGTTGGCAGGAGGGGACAGGACGCATGGAGGGGACCACAGGTAGGTAGGATTCAGTCTCAGAGCTGCAAGTAACATTTACGGCAGGTGGTAGGGAGCTGCCTGGCACAGAAAGGGCAGAGCTGGCTGTCAGGGCAGAGGGCCCGGGAGCTGGGAAGTGGATCCTGGGCTTGGGGGATGAGGACGCCTGTGGCTTCCACGACGGCCCCACAGGTGGCTCCATAGGTAACAGCCTCTCCCTGCTGCTGATTTCAGACCGCATGGAGGTGCTACGCTGCCGAGAACCCCGACTCCTCCACCTGGAAGATCTATGTCCGGAAGCCCTCCCGGGGCCACGTGCTGCTCTCCCCCAGCCCCAAGTCCAAGAAGTCTGTCATGGTAACAAGCCCTAGGGCAAGGGCTGCTTTTTAGCAGGTGGGGAGGCTGTGGGCACTGCTTCAGGGTTCGCTTGGCCCGTGTTTGAGCTCAGTGTAGCCCACATCAGGGTGTCAGCACCTTCCTGGCTCTGGGGATGTCCATCCCGTTCTGGATCCCTGCCATCCTAATCTTCCCAGGCTTGGAGATGTACACTGCTCGCCCCAAGGCCAGTGCTATGAGAGGTCCAGAGAAAGTGACCTGAGGACAGGCTGGGCTAATCCCGGCCAACTGTGGGCAGGAGGCTCTTGAGGGGGCCTTGGTGTTGGGCTTTCCATACTGGGCATGGCGGGTGGGGGGATGGGGGCACACCAGCTCTAGGACAAGGGCTCAAGGTCACAGAGTCAGGAGCTTGGGAAGGCATTGCTGTCCCCACCCTCCTTGGAGCCTTTGCCTCTGCTGGGACGTTCTCCCAGGTTTCCAAACGGCCTGCTCCATCCCTTCCTCCAGGTGACCTACTCCAAGAGGCCCTGGAGAGCCCCCAGTCCATTCGCCCACAGGTTCTAATCCTCTCCTGGCCGCAGCCCTCATCACTGCCATCCACCCTGCGCTGTGAGCTCATGGGGCAGTGACTGGGTCAGGCCCCCTGTTCTCTGGCAGGGTGCACGCTGAGGGAACTGGGCAGCCACTCTGGGGCCAGCAAGGGGCCTCGCAGATGGTGCCCAGGAACCACCAGCTTATCGTCTGGCTTTTTAGGTAAAGAAAAAAAAGTTCAAACTGGACAAGGACAATGGGGTGAGTCCCGGAGAAAAGACGCTCACAGTCCCCCACATCACGTGCGACCCCCCGGAAGAGCGGAGGCTGGACCACCTCTCTGTCGACGGCTATGACACTTCTGGTGAGAAGCCTCTCATGCAGGTGTGGTGGGTGGAGGCAGGGTTTAGATGTCCCCCGTCCTGTGTGAAGGGTTTAGCCCCTGTGAAGCCACAAGCGAGGCTCTGTAATAGACGTGGGGATGGGGGCCCCGAGAGCTGAGCACGTCTCCAGGCCACACAGCTGACACGTGGTAGTGCCTGGGTGTGACCCCAACATACTCTCACCAGCTTCCACTGTTCCTAAAAGTGCCACTATCCGACCAGATATAAGCGAGGTGGCCTGTGGTGACCCCTGCTCCCCCCAACTGCACCTCCCTCAGCTCCAGGGCTGTCAGTGGGGCAGGGCAGGTGCAGGAGGCTTCCCCGGTAATCGCCATCCAGACTTGTCACAACGGCGCACGTGCTGTTTCCACTACTGTGGAACCTGATTGTGAGAGAAACATTCCATGTGATGGGGCTGTGAATGGGGCGACCTTGTGGACTGTGCAGGTCTGGGGACCTCATGCCCCCTGGCTGCACATGGACAGTGGGGCACCGGGGTTGTGGCTGAACCCTCGAGAGGTAGGAAGGGGTGGCCGTGGTGAAAGGGACCCCACTTCACCCTATGAGTTCCGACTTTCTCTCTCATGACCTCAGTGTCCACTTCTCAGGGAGTGTGATCCCAGATGGCTGAATTCTTTAGCAGTTCTCTTAAAACCAAATTTACATGGTTCTGGCTTTTTCTTTCCTCTGGGGCCAGAGTGGGGTGTTTGAACTAGCCGTGCTGCCACCAGGACTGGGGTGTGGGCCCTGTCTTCCTAGGAGAGAACACACTCTCCCCAGGGTACCTCTCACTGCCCGCCAGCCACTTCCTCTGAGGCAGGCACAGTGGGGTCTGTGTTCTGATGCAGAGACAGCATTTACGGAATGCTGGTGCCACGTCACTAGCGAGAGGTTCTGGCAAATATTCATAAAAGCCCTGTCCCAGGACACGGTCACTCTGGGATGGCAGGGGGCACCTATTCTGAAAACACTTGGCTAGCACAGCCCTAGGAAGAAGCGCTAGTTTGTGCTACGAGGGAGGCTGTGGCCTTGCTATCCCAAGCCTGGGAGAGCCTCGCCTTCTGGATGCAGAGGTGGGAGTTGGGGCCAAGGGCACCAGTGTTTAGCGACCCACTGCCCCTTGACTGCCTGCTGCTGTCTGCATGGACATCAGGTTCTAGGGCCTCGCTTAGGCTCCTGCTGGCCTAGTTTCCACCCGTCCAAGTCCTATCCCTGCTTCCCCCCATGACTCAGGGTCAGGCCTATGCCAAGGAGGCCTGGAAGGGCCCGTCCTCCCATCCCCCTCAGTGCCTATCCTACATGCCCCCAGGAAGGCTTCACTGGGCCGAGTCCCATGGGTGGCTGGACACTGCTGCTCTGGACTCTGGGCTGTTGGTGGCCAGACCCTGCCTCAGTCATGCCATGTGGCCAGGGCCTCATGCCTAGCAGAAAGGAGGCAGTCATACACGTTGACCTCCATCCCAGGTGGGGTGGGGCCTGGGGCCCAGAGCTAGCCCTATGTGTGCTGCAGCAGTCACTAGCCTTGACACCATGCCCCTTTGCTCTTCTGCCATTTCTGTACCTTTCCCTCCCCTCTCAGACCTCTTCCCAGTGCCTGGGACCCACCAGAATGTTCTGGAACTGATCAGAATATTCCAGCTTATTGGCAGTTGTGAGGACAGTGCCACCATCTCAGGCATGGCAGAGGGTGACAAACCCACATTATTCCTGACCCTTTGTGCTCACTGGTGCTGGGTCCCTGGCCCACCCAGCTGCAGCTTGTTCAAGAGTGGCCACCCTATGTTCTGCCTCTGGTCACTGTCCCCACCACTGCAACTTGGCAGAAAGACGGGAGTGTTCCGGAAAGGGGCTGTCGCTGTTCTCTGCCCCTTGAGGATGTTCTGGGCATCCTATTTGGGAGTCACCGGGCAAAACCAAACCTGAGCATCCACTCCCCTCTGTGCCAGGGTCCCAGTGGCCTTATCACATGCCATCAGGATTTGCCCGGGGCCCGGCCACATCTTGCTGAGCCCCCAGGATGTGCTCCCTGCCTGCCACTGAAGTGGGCACAAAGGCAATTGTGCCAACCAGTGCCCGGTGCCCCATAGCTCCAGATTCAGGGGTAGGGCCATTGTCTCGATGCAAATGGGGACTTTCTGTGAATGCTAATGGGCAGGCTGGGTGGGCCCAGAGGCGGCTGGGGATGCAGCCCGTGCGCCTGCAGAGGCGGCCACTCGCTGTCCACTGAATACGGGGCGGCCTGAATCGATGCTGTCCATTCAGCCTGTTTAGTGTTATTAAGTTGCTAGCGATGTCTGTGGAATGTTAATGAGCTTCAAGTGCAGAGAAAGTCAGGCGCCTTTTGTGGAATGCTCCCACAAGGAGGAGTTTTTCTTTCCTGCTAACGTGATAAGTCAGCCCAGCCCGGAGCCATGGGATTTCTGGAGCCTGTGCTGTTGGCCTGGTCCCCAGGGATGCACAGTGGCCCCGCCCCCATGGGTTACCTGATGCTCCCAAGTCGTCATGGCCTGGGGAGAAAGGGGTGCTCATCCCAGGGCAGACACCACCACTGGGAAAGCCTCAGCCCTTGCTCCCATGAGGTGGGGTACGAGCAGCCATGCCGAATCCTACCCCAACGCCAAGGCCAGTGCTCAGCCCTCGTCCGGCCTGCATGTTCCGGGCAGGGTAGGCAGCAGTCATCCTGACCTTGGCACAGGGCACCCACCTGCACATGCCAGTCATCACAGGCCTTTTCCACTTGCTGGTTTTCAGGAATTCTGACATGATTTTGGGGAACCGTGCTTTAAACAGGCATTTGCTTGGGGCTGAGACCCATTGTCTGTTACTGCTTCTCTCCCATCTCTGCAGCTTTTCTCCCTGTCAGTCTGGGCTTCTGTCCTATGACCCTCAGGCCCAGTTGTCGCAGGCAGGGCTGCCTAATCCTGTCCATGGGTTCCAGGCCTTTTTCTAAGCCACTGTGTCTCCTGAGGTAACCCCCTGTTTCCAGAGAAACCACTGTGACCGGGATCTCACGCATGGTGAGGGATGGTACAGTCAGCTGGAGTCTTCTCCCATCTTCCAGTAAGCTTCCAGCCTCTCGCAGGTTCCAGTCGTTCAGGGCTTGTTCTGTCCTGGTTCATCAGCGCCTATTCACCAGGACCTGCTCTGTGTGGGGCCTGGGTGAGGCCCCCATTGGCAGGGGCTGGGGATTTCCCTCGCCATCCCAGGAGGAAGGTGGATGAGGCAGTGAGCTGCCAGGGGATGGGCACCTGGCTTGGTTTGGTCTGACCCAGGAAGGCTTCTTGGAGGAGGTGACATTAGGGCTGAAGAACTGGCTGAGGAAGGAGAGGCAGGGCATTGCAAGCGGCAAGAGCAGCTTAGGCCACAGTGTGGGGACACAGCTGCACCTCTGCAGGTCTCCACATGTTCTCCAGCTGACCTGGGAACGTCATGTGGTTTCCTCATTTGTAACATGAGGGTCAGTGTTGCCCACCTATGTAAAAGCATAGAAGAGCACCTGGTCCACATGGGCTTCCGGCACATGTTGGTGCTGCTTTGGGTGCCGTCATTTGTGACTAAGGGCCTTGGGCATGAGGGGCTGCTGGACACCTGCAGATGTCCAGTGGGCAGATTAGGAAGTCCACCCACCTCAGACATCACCAGGGAGGCCCCATCCAGCGTGGCATGGGCCAGCTTTGGGCTTCGTATGTCCCCCTGCCCCCTCCGGTACAGATGCGGGAGTTGGGCAGGACGTTATGGTGGCCAGTCGTGCAGGGCCTGAGGGGGAGCGGAGCCAGTAACAGCCAGAGGTAGATCTGTAGTGCGGTACCCTGCCGTGTCCCAATTAAGGGCAAGACGGAGCTCGAGATGGTATGTTTTTGCTTCATTTTCACCCAAGAACACTGCAGACAAGTAATAAAGTCCAGAGAAGGCCTCCTTGAAGGCCCGCGTCCCCACTCTGCAGAGGAACGTGTCATGTGCATCATGTGCACTTGGGCCTAGGCTGTGGATCGAGCCCAAGCTTGTCCCAGAGCCTGGTGCCCGCCCGCCATGTTTCCAGGCCAAACCCTCGGCTTGCATCTGCGCGGGCCCTGCAGGGCTCTGTCCCCACAAGGCTCTGTCCCCAGCACTACACCAGTCGCGATCTGCGGGCAGCCCGTCTCCTGAACCCCATGGGGTCTGGGTGGTCTCAATCCTGTCGCCCCTGCCATCTCACAGGCCACTGAAGCCCAGTGCTTGGTTCTGCCTTTGCAGATGGTCCTCTGAACGCGTCATTCGTAGTGTTACTGTGGCATGCAACCCGGCACTTACATTCTCTCACGGATTTGCCAGTTTTCTGTCTCACATTTCAGATTGAATTTCCCTCTTCCTCAGTCCATGAGGTTCTACTGATGGTAAACTGTCAATCCCTTTCTGAATTTTTTTTTCTTTTTTGTCTTTGCTCTTGGATGATGGTTTAGGTGGGGAAGGAGTCACAGGCTGATAGATGTATTTTTCTGGACACTCATGAGATATGACACCACTGTCCCCTGCCTCCTGTGGACAGTCAAGCTCACCAATATTCCTTTGTAGGAGACCCTTCCCACCTCTGGTGCCTTTGAAAACCTTTCCTTTGACTTGGGTGTTTAGTAATTTCATGATAGTTTAGCAGGGTGTGTTAGATTATTTCCCTTTCTCCTGCTAACAGTTTATTGTGATTCTTGGATCAGAGCATTTATGTCTTTCATCAAGTGTGGAAAGTCAGCACCGTTATGTCCTATAATATTGTCTCCTCTGTGGCTCCGATCTCTCCTGGAAACTTCTGACCATTGCATTCTGTCCTTGGCTGTCTCTTTCACCTTCTGTCCCTGTCTCACGGTGCTGCATCTGCAGCATTTTCTGTCCAGTCGGCTAACTCTCCAGAAGTGTCTAATCCACTGTTGAGACTTTAATTGCAATCACCGCATATTTTTTCACACTGTATATCCTTATGTGTGGGTTTAATCTGCTTGATTTTGGTATC